GTGGGGGCTCCTCCCTGGGATCCCGGCTCCTCTCTGGGATCCGGGCTCCTCGCCGGGATCCAGGTTCCTCCCTGGGATCCGGGCTCCTCCCTGGGGGCTCCTTGCCGGGATCCGGGCTCCTCGCCAGGATCCAGGTTCCTCCCTGGGATCCCAGCTCCTCGCTGGGATCCCGGCTCCTCCCTGGGCTGGGGGAGCGCACTGCCCCGGGTTCCTTTTCGGTGCTGGGTCCAGTCGCCCTGCAGAGCATCGTTGCAGCCCCTCGTTGCACAGACCCCGCGCTCACGGCTGCCTCTCTCCAGCAGGGCTATCTCTGGGATCCCTACCAGCGCGTGCAGCACCAGCTCCTCAAGCGGCAGCCCCTGGCTGACTCCCCCATGGTCCCCGCTGTCCACACGGGGCACAGGCCCCTTTCCAGGGCCCAGTCGTCTCCTGCCACGGCGAGTGTCTCCCTTCCTGCCCAGGATCCGGCCTCCAAGACGCTCTCTCTGCCTGTGCAGGAACAGCCAAGCAAGCCCCAGTTCACAACAGGCAGGGCCTGTCCCCTCGCCGTGCTCCGACGTTACTGCTGGGGCAGCAGCAGGGCCTGGGGAGCCCAGGGAAGCTAAGTTACAATCCCATCCATCCTGGATACCGGTAGGTTCCTGGGAATGCTCTAGCCGCCTGCACAAAGAGCGGAGCAAGGCCTGAGGATCCCACCCTCCTCCTGTTAACCAAAGTCAGTTCTTGCAGGATGAGCTGATATGTCCCTTCCAAGTCACCCTCATCCAGCTCTGCTGGTGAGTGACCATTTAGACTCTCCTGCACAGCTAAGGCAGGATTAGCCTCAAGCCTCTTGGGGCAGAGGCTTCCACGGACCGAGAAAGATGTTTTAGTCAAAAAAAAAAATTAAAAACCCAAAGTTTAAGGTCCCAGCCAGCAGCCCAGCCCCTGAAAAGGAGCTGAATTTAGGGGACGCCAAATCAAAGCCTGAGTTTCCAGTCTCCTGTTGGGACGACCGTGTCCTGATCCCCTTGTGCCCTGCAGGGCTGGTTTATGACTCGGTGATGCTCAAGCACCAGTGCTCCTGCGGCGACAACAGCAACCACCCCGAGCACGCGGGCAGGATTCAGAGCATCTGGTCCCGTCTGCAGGAGCGAGGGCTGCGCAGCCAGTGCGAGGTGAGCGCGGGGAGCCGGGTGTTTGTGAGGACACACAAGGGAAACGCTGCTTGTGCAAACGGCTCTCATGTTCACAGGGTGAGAGGGCTTCTATCCTGCTCCCACCTCCATCCTTTTCATCCCCGCATCTTCTCAGCCAAAGGGCCCAGCTTTTTGCTGCCTCAGGGGACATCAGTAGCAGTTCTGGTCTGCTAGAAACCTTGCCCTGGTCTAACTAGGCTGACCCTGGACCGTGCAAACTTTTAAACTAGGAAAATGATACTGGTGTTTCCTGCCTGATCTAGAGATGGAAGGGGTTTGAATTAGCTCAAACCTGATGCAAAGAAGCACCACGGTCAGCCCCGCAGTGCCTCCCCTGCTGCAGAGATATAGGGTTTAACTGCAGCTGGGGTGAAGAACATGCCATGATCACAACCAGCCTACCCCGGTGCGGAGGTTTGTCCCCTTCCTGCTCCAAATAGCAGCTTGAATCAGTGATTCAAGGCTCAAGAAGGGAGCAGGGCCTGCGCTTGTGCCCGTGGGCATCCCCGGCTCGAGCAGCCCGTTCACAGCCCCCGTGTGCTGCAGTGTCTGCGGGGACGCAAGGCCACGCTGGAGGAGCTGCAGTGCGTGCACAGCGAGCGCCATGTGTTCCTCTACGGCACCAATCCCCTCAACCGCCTCAAACTGGACAACGGGAAGCTGGCAGGTGAGTCGGTGAAAAACCTCATGCAATCGGCGTGAAAATTGGTATGCATTGGGCAGTGAAAAACCTCGTGCAGTTCAACAAGGGCAAGTGCACCTGCACCTGGGGAGGAATAACCCCAGACACCAGGACAGGCTGGGGACCGACCTTCTGGAGGGCAGCTCTGCAGAGAGGGACCTGGGCATCGCGGTGGGTGACAAGGTGACCATGAGGCAGCAGGTGCCCTCGTGGCCAAGGAGGCCAATGGGATCCTGGGGGCGTTAGGAAGAGTCTCCAGCAGGTCGAGGGGATCCTGCCCCTCTGCTCAGCCCTGCTGAGGCCACATCTGCAGTATTGTGTCCAGTTCTGGGCTCCACAGGACAAGAGGGATGTGGAGCTGCTGGAGAGAGGCCAGCGCAGGGCTACGAGGATGATCAGGGGCCTGGAACATCTGCCCTGTGAGGAGAGGCTGAGGGAGCTGGGCCTGTTCAGCTGGAGAAGAGAAGGCTGAGAGGGAACCTGAGCAGTGTCTAGAAGTACCTCAAGGGAGGCAGTGAGGAGGATGGGGCCGGCCTCTTTTCACTGGTGGCCACC